CGAGGCGCGGCCGCCGTTGCCCAGCGCGCGTCGCCGCCGGTCGGGCCAGGCTCGACCCCTCGAGCGCAGAGTCCCGGCGTCGCGGACGCTGCGCGCCGCACCAGGCACTAGCAATCGAGAGCCGAGCGGCGAGCGGCGGCTCTGCTCTGCTGACCGCGCGGCTTCGCAGGGAGCTCCTGCCCACTCTGCGGGCCACAGGGTGGAGACACCCCCGGCCAGAGAGGGAGCGAGTCACGGCCAGAGCTGGCATCAAGGCGGGAGGTGGGCAGAGGGGGTCATGCCTGAGCCTGCCCGGTCCCGCCCCTGCCCGGTCCCGCCCCTGCCCCCGGGCTGCAAGGGTATCTGAGCGGGTGTCCCCCTGGGGTGCCTTGCTGACCCCTCTCCCCCTTGCGTCCCTTCTGAGCGCCCAGATGATCCAGGCGCTTTGCTCAGTGCCGGCTTCACCTAGACGCGGCTCTCTTTGCCCCTTTGGCGGGGCAGGTGCCGCCAGGATCGCCTCTGGGCAGCTTCTGGGCGCGGGTGGGAGGCGGAGTTTTGGCTCAAAATTCAACGTGTTGACTCAGTCACCTGCTTCCACCTGGCGCTGTCGGGCGACTGGCCGGGCTCTGGTTTTTCTTAAAATCGAAAGACTTTCTGGCTAAATAGCACACTAACCGGGCAGCCACACTTCCTGATACGAAAAACTGGGTCAGGGATCAGGAATTTGCTCTGCCCCCCCACCCCATCCCACCCCCCGTTGCCCATGTAATCTTTCGGATCAGTTTTGTACCCATGGAACCTCAGTTTCCATGTCAGTAATATGGGATTCCTTATGCCCACATGACTAGGCAAATATATGACAGAATGAAGTAGAGCGCTGGGAACATTCAATCTTATCATTCAATCATTTTTTTCCCACTAGAATTCACAGAGACGGTGCTGCATCTGGCAGAAACAGCTATGGGCGATATTGATGAGGACTAGGTCGTGGTTAGCCTCACCAAGAACTTCAACATTTGTCTCTGTTCATAGTGCTTTGCTATTCCGACCTCTGTTATGTGAACATAAATGATGAGGCACATATTTCTAAGAAATGTAATCAAATAAATTTAAAGAAAGGTGCCTTTTTCAAAAGCCATTTTGTCCAAAGCATTTTTTGCAACCTGGGGAGAATGCACTATTGAAGAGGAAAATGGAATTCTTGCCTTAGTGAACTTTGGAGAAGCAATTAACTCAATGTGTATTTGCATATTTCTCTAAATAAATAAAATTGTAATTATGAGACTTCTCTTTACTTGTGGTAGACACCCCAGATATTTTTTCCTGTAAGTCAGTGAGCCTTCAGCAGAGCTACATGTCCTTAGAATGCACATCAGAAAGTTAGATAGCCTTTCATTCTATTATGACTAATTTTTCAACTTTTTTTTTGAGTTGTAGTCTCATTCTGTCACCCAGACTGTAATGCAGTGGCACGATCACAGCTCATTGCAGTCTCTACCTCCTGGGCCCAGGCAATCCTTCCACTTAAGTCTCCCAAGTAGCTGGGACTGCAGGCACATACCACCATACCCAGTTTATATATATATATATATATATATATATATATTATATATATTTTTTTGTGTGTG